AAAAGGACACCCTGCTATATATTTTGCCATCACTTTCAGTGCTTTAGATGTTGCCAGAGTCTGGCTTGGGGAATGTTTCTCCAATATGACTTTATATGTAATTAAAAAAAGGACTCTTTTATCAGCTGGTTGCCCCAATTAGCCTGCAGCATGGATGGGGATGTGGGATCCAGGGGGTGGGGGGGTCCAGGGGCCATGAGGCCACAGGAATGTGGGATCCAGCAAGTGTGGGCTCCCAAGGTCAGGGGGTCCTGGGGACGTGGGATCCAGGGGGTATGGGGCCATGGGGACGTGGGATCCAGAGGTCGAGTCCTGAGGCCATGGGGTCCTGGGGACGTGGGATTCAGGGGATATGGGGGCCATGAGATCCAGGGGTTCTAGGGTCCCAGGGTCATGGTGCCCAGGGGGCATGGCAACCTGGGGGTATGGAGTCCAGGGCACTTGGGGTCAGGGCACATGGGGTCCTGGGGGTATGGGGTGCAGAGAGCACAGGGTCCCGGGGGCATGGGATCCTGAGCCTGTGGGGTCTGGGGCACACAGGGACCCGGACACATGGGGTCCTGGGGGCACAGGGAGACCAGCACACAGGGGCTTTGCAACACCTGGGCTCCTGGAGGCAGGCAGCACCCTGGGCAGGCGGTGTCACACCTCCCTGCCTGCCCTGGCCGGGCTCAGCCTGCCCCACGCCAGACTCTGCAGCTCGCCCCTGCCCACACCCTTCAGCAGGCTGCGGGCTCCCACGTGTGTGCGCACATGTGCTTGCTGTGAAACTCGTGGTCCTCGCTTCTGTCCCAGAGACATTTGCCTGCAGCCCTTCCCACTGAGAGCCCGTCAGGCTTTGGCTACAGAGGAGCAAGGCGTTGGTTGTGGCGCGGAGTGAGCTGGGCACCGCCGGCAGCCCTGCACCAGGGACTCCCCCTTGGGGCGCCTGCAGCCCCATGCCCCTAAAATGTGCGTGTACAGCTAACACTGAACAAGTACTGTCGTTACTGAGGTCTGCGCCCTCATAAGGCCTCCTTACGGACAGCAAATCCTGGGATCTGTTCCATCCTTAACCCCCCCAAGTGGGTTCAGAGCATTTCCCTCTCTCCCACTATGTGTTTGACCCCCAGCGTCTCCCTGCTTGCAGCCATCGCCCTCTCCATCAGGAGGGTGCGATCAGACTCTGCGGGTGGGTGATGCTGGTCACTGTCATGTTCATGGCCGACCGCTTTGGTTTCTCCACCCCTGGGGTTCCCCAGCCTTCCCCTCAGCAGTGCAGGAGTGCAGCTTCTGCTGAGTTCTGCTGGAATGAGCGACGCTTTCTGTGCGTCCCAGCATGACACGCGTGCATGCACACCGGGGCGGTCGCAGGCATCTGCTGAAATGTCCCCGCTTCCTTGCAGCCCTCCCTGTGAAGCTGCTTGGAGTGGTGGGGAGGGAGCCCACAGCACACTGCCAACCCTGCCCTTGACCCCAATGAGAATGAAGCTGGTGAGGAACAACCGCTCCCTTTGTCGTGCCTCTTCTGAACCACCATTCAGCCAGGGAAACAATGCTTAAACTGTGCTCGCTTTGCTTTGTAACTTCTTCCCTGCCACGTGATGCTCACACCAAAACCCGGAGGTCCGTGCAAAGGGATGCAGGCAGGTGTGTGAGTTGGGCAGGATACTTCATGCCACTGTCACACACAGAAACTCTTGGTGACCGCATCTGAGTGAAGAGAAATCACGGTAATGTGCGCTGAGCTGCTTTGCCAGAGAGAATTATGTCCAGTGTTTGTCAGCTTGACTCGTCATCCGAGGATCCCCACGGATCCACCACAGCTTCTGGCATCTCGAATGTCAGCCACGGCATGGAAAATCCTCTTTCATCGCTCAGGTCTGATTCCAGATGAAAACTCATTAAAGGCAACCGCCTCCACCACTCCCTGCTATCGCTGGGGCACTCGCCTGTCAATCACATCCTATTACTGCAGGCACGGGATAATTTGTACCAAAGCACAGGATCAAAAGAAATTATTTAAAAATAGCTAATTCTATAGCCCTTCCTCTCTGTCCAGCACAGCCTCACACACCTGCTGCTGATGGCAGCAGCACCCGCCGCACCTCCACGTGCTGCCTGCTCTGGGAGATGGCCCTGCCTGACCATGAATCCCAAACGCTTTCCCTGCTGTCACCAGGACATTGTCATCGATTTAGACGTCCAGCATGGTGACGAGCCAAGTTGCTCAGCCCTTTCTACTCATCTTTCGCACAAACCTGAGTAAGAGAAGTGGTGTCAGAGCCCAAAGGATGAGCGTGGTCACAAAGCCAAATTGGCTTTTGCCTAAGAAATGAATGTCTTTCTCGGGTCAAGTTCTCCTGTGGAAGTGGGGGGACCAGCTACAACCATAGGGTGCTTTGGTCCCCAGCACTGGCTTAAAAGTAGGCCAGAGCGTGTGGAGTCCTTGTGGTCTTGCAGCTGGTGAGTAACCCAGGAGCTGGCTCATGATTGCAAAATATATTTGTCACATACATTTGAATCAGGAGCCTGCCTGTAGGAAAGGCAGCCTGTTTGTGGGCTGCACTGGAGAAAAAGTATTACATTTGCCTCCCAAACTGTTTATAGCATGCCCAGCTCTAGGGATGAAACATAACAGTCCAGAAAGGTTTTAATTTTGTGATATATCTTTTATGTGCAGACCCATGGACATGACTTGCTTGTTTGCAGTCCAGCCTGGTTTTAATCACTTTGAATTAAGTAACTGATCTTATTACTGATCCGACTATGAGAGGGCTTATCGCAGGTTCCTTGGCACATGACAAAGATTACTCCATTGGTGCGACCACATCTGAGTAATGTGACATGTGGTCTCAGATCTATTTTTTTCTTCACCCTCCTTCAGGATGTTGATCCTTTCTTTTCTCCATTTCTTCAGCCAGTGACCAACTAAAACCCGCTTAACACTACCGAAACCTTGGACATATAATGGGATGAAGGGAAAAGCTCTGCCATTTCTTGTAACAGACGTCATTTGTTTCCTGTTTTCATTAAACTGAGGGTGTGATCATATTGACTTAATGGATATGATTGTGGGTGTAATTAAAAGCAATAGGAAAACAGGCAGTATCAATGAGCACACTAAGCATAGTTAATGTTTAGCACTGGTTTTGAGCATGAGATGAAGGATTGGTAGAGTACATCCCTCATTTTTGAGAAGGGCTGAAAGATACAGGTTTTACAACAGTCCTTGCAAGGATTTTGTGTGTGGGTTTCGCTCTGAACATTTACCAGTCTCCTCTCTCAAAAGCAGGCTCAGGTCCAAAGGTCGGCAGAGTTTGGACAACAGCCCCAGACCTGTGATGGGCTGGAGGAGCAGAGCTGCTGCTTTGCTTTAAGCCTCTGTCTCAGGGGTCTCGTCAAAAGTCAGATAGAAATGCCTAATGTCCTGTTTAGCTAAAATCTTCAGAGAGAAGTAATGAATGAGGAGACTCAGGGGTTTGCAGTAGGGGTGCTGGGCTGGAATATACACTCTGTATGTCCCCCTCCCACTGCGGGTACATCCCTGACCTCCAGTTTAATCTCGCTGTGCCACCAGCATTTTGTCTGCAGAAGGGGAGCAGTAACACCGCTTCGACCATCCCCTTTTAGCCAGTGAGCGAGCTCTTTAGGTCAGGGATAATATGCAAGTATATCGGTTTGGTCCTTGGGGTCCTGGGTCTGTGTGGGGACCCCTCCGCTCTGCTGTGTTAGACAGGGAACAGAGACTGGTCGTCTGGTGCTGGCCTGCAGGCAGAGAAGGCGACAGAGCTGCTGGCAGTCACTAGACCGGACTTGTTTGGTGAGGACTCGCCAGGCGAAGAGGCGGTTGGCAGTCCCAGGCAGCTCTGTTCAGCTGTGATGAATAATAGCTGTTACTGACACCTCGTGGAAGCCTTAGATAAACATTTTCTCCAGAAAACTTTCTGTTTCCTTTCCTCTGCTGCTGCTGCTTCCCCCACTTGAGGAACTTATACTTATTTCTGTCATCTCCAGAGCACCCAGCCAGGAAGCAGGCAGCAGGGCCCTTGGCTGCCTGTAGGACCAGGAATGGGAAGATAGCCAAAGGAAGGCTGCCCAGGGACTGTCCTTTCCCTCCCCGAGAAAGAGAAGGGCATGTCTCCTCCCTGCGTGGTGGTGAGGGCAACTCACCACGAATGTATGTTGGACATCAGATGCAAAGAGGAAAGCATCCCTCTCCTGCACCCACCTCGAGTCTGTAATGTCCACTGGGTACGTGCCTTTTATGTGCCAGTTTTGCCCATCTCCATTTTTCAGCTGGGCATAGTTGCAAGTGTCTGTTACAAATCACTCTGTCCTTTCATTTCAGAATCTTGAATCACTTTGGAAAAAAAGACACAGAAGTTTTCCTAGGAAGTGGGAAAATATTTTCACTTGAGAAACAAGACTGATGAAGATGCCACAGAGCGTCAGCAGGGATCTGGGTTTAGGCATTGCTCCTGGCTCCCTTGCTGAAACCATCAGACAACATCACTCCGTCCAGGGGAGGAGCTGTGGCCTTGACCCCTGTTCTCACCACTCACCCCTGCACTGTCTCACTCAGCACCCACCTCTTCTTCCTTCTCAGTCTTCTTTTGTATTACAGTCACTCTCTACTTGCCTGACTTTGTATGAATCATCATTGCACATCGAGCCTGAGCTGCCCATAACTCTGGCTGCTTTGCTTTCTCTGCTGTGTAATAGGGTCAGCTTCATCCTGACACACAGCATGGAAGAAAATCTGCTTTGGAAACAGCAAAGCAAACAAGTCTTTGCTTGTTACTCTTGTTTCCTGGCTGCTGCTGAGTGATTGTGAAACCCTTCCAAAAATCTGCATCCCAAATGATGCTTGGGAACCCAAGTGAAGCTCTGAAACACTTTGTTTTTGAAAGGAGATCTATCCACTGGCTCTGGAGGAACTACATAACATGAGGGTTGACCATTGTCAAACATCAGTCCCAGCTGATGTGAGGCTGAATAAATGGCTTAACTGACATCACAGATCTGTTGATGTTGTCTGTGTCCACTGGTGGGATAACCCAATTTTTAAGGCTTTGAAACTTATGTTTTATTCTGGTTCTTTGACAGAGAGAAGTGGCCTGGTAGAACTGAGGTGGGCAGTCAGGTGCTAAGGTCCTTCAGCTGGAGCTATCTCACAGGCCCTCAGGAGTGGTCACAGGCTATCATCAATGTCCTCTTTATTTTGGCTTGTTTCGTGGGCCACCCCTCATTAAGCTTTAAATTTGGCACCTGTAATATATGAGCCACATTCATCCTTTTGAAACAGAGCTGCAGCAGAGATTAAATTTGATCCAGTGTGTTACAGGGGGATGCTGAAAAGTGTGCTTCTCCCTTAAAAGACAAAAAAAGTACCTTTGGGGGAGCCTTTCTGTTTCGTAAGCAAGTGGATGAGAGGGGTCAGAGAGCTTCTGGTGCCTGTAGATGATTTTGGCCTTCAGCTTGATGTTGGTTGTTAAAAATATTTTCCCAGATGTATTAATACGACCAGACTGGATTGCATCTGAGCTGAACATTGTGAGCCTAAGGCAGGACATAAATATAGAAGCAAAACAGCCTGACATAAGAGTCATCTGTCCTCTTCCACACAAGAAGTGAAGGAGAGAGGGGAACTTACTCTGTTGCAATTTTTAGACACTTCCAGGCATTAGCCTGAGCCTCAGAGAGTGCCTGCACTGGGGTCCTAGGGCACAGAAAGCCCCATGTATCCCTCGCTCAGCCCTTAGTGTGCTGTGCCACAGGACTTGCGCACTCAGCGCATTTTTAACCCAGGGTTAGATTTGCCTGGACAAGGTCTGCAATCAAGAATGACTATTTGTTTGATGTGTTTGCCTAACAGGATTACCCTTATCATAATGATATAGCAACCTGGCCTTGGCAGAGCAAACCCCAGGGGCTTGAGGGGTCAAACCTTTGCCTCCCCTGCCCTAAATGTGCACAGTGTAGCTTGGCTCTTTATCATGCAATATCCAGCTGCTGCTTGGGTTGGCATTCAATGCTCTGCTTTTGGAAAGAGCAGTTGTGCCATGTA